AATATACACATAAAATTGTTTCAGCATCTCTAATGAATACTCCTGTGCAAACAAATGCATTATCTCCAGGACAAGTTTGGGTACACATCTTTAGGCTTACAGAGCACACTCAAGTTACAACTGTCCAAAGGTATTAGATCACTTTTTTCTTACCCACTTCCCTTAATACGATTATGTATTCACTTGTATCACTGTTACGCTCAATTGTTGATTTGTATTTCATTTTAGTTTGCCCCACGATCTGATTAATTTTAATTCTTCATTTCTGAGATATGTGAAATATTATCAATATTTTAAATCCCAAACAAGGGCTGGGTGTGTAACTCAGTGGTAGAGCATTTCCTAGCACACATAAGGATCTGAGCCCAGTCCCCATTACTGCAAAAAAAACCTAAATCCACAAACAAGATAAGATTGCCTGTGATCGTTATTTTATTTAACATTGTATTAGGAAATCTAGCTGATACAGTGAAGCCAGAGAAAGAAAATTTACAAGTATTGTAAAAGAGTAAAAATTCTCATTACTTGAAAATGATATTATTGTCTACATAAAGAAGTAAAAAGAATAGACAGATATATTTTTATAATTTAACAGGATTATTGGCACACAATCAACATAAAACCAACTGTATGTATATATTTTATTGGCAAATGTAAAATACAGCAAAAAATACCATTTAAAACCATTAAAACAAGCTATGTACATATAAATCTAACAAGAGATGTGAAATAACTTAATGGAAACAGCATAAAACATTATTAAGAGATGATAAAAATAAATGGAGTCATATGTCATGTTCAAAAGTTGCTTTATTTAATAGCATAAGCTGATCAGTTTTCTCAATAAAAAATTCCAACCAAAATTACAACAGTTTTCTGTTCTTCAGTTTTGGTTTCTTTTTGGTGGATCTTGGTAAGATGATTCTAAAGGAAGAATAAGCATAATTATACTCTCAAGATAGAATAACATGGAGGATTTCCCCTACTAAATATCAAGGTTGAAATCTATAACAATTAAGACTGATGGTATTTGAACAGTAAAAAAAAATCATCCAATAGAACAAAATATCAAAGCCCAGGAACACACCCACGTGCATGGGAAGAGGTGAATTATGGCAGAGCTGGCTTTTCAAATTAATGGAAAAATAATGGCCTTTACAATAAATGGAATGGTGTCAAGTGATTATCCACACGGAAACAATGCAAATTCAATCTTATTTTTCATCAGACAAAAAAGACTCTAAGAAGATTAAAAACCTAAATGTGAAAGGCAAACACCATAAATTTATAGAAGGCAAAAGTACACTCCTTTCATAACTAAGGGAAAGGAAACCCATTCTTATATCAGATAAAATATGATAAATTTTAAAGGAAAATACTGATATATTTGAATACATTCAAATTAGGAACGGTTTACCAAAAAATGACAAAATAAAGTGAAAAGATACACAAAAACTTGAAGAAGTTATTTACAACTTGTATAACCAGCAGGAAATTAATGTGGTAGTTGTATAAACAGATCCTGCCATACCCTTGTTCCCAATAGGCAAATAATCATCTAGAAAAATGCATCCCAAATTTGAATAGGCTTTTCACAGAAGAAGAAAAGATGATCCACTAGGGGCTGGGGTTGTGGCTCAGTGGAAGAGTGCTCACCTAGTTTGTGCAAGGCCCTGGGTTCAATCCTCAGCACCACATAAAAACAAATAAATAAAATACATAAAAAAATGATCAACCATATAATCAATTAGGAAATAAAGACTAAAGCAATGAGCTGCTCTGAGATAGCTACCTGATTGCCAAAAAATTTAAAAGCTGATAATGTCTGAGTATTGTGCAGGACATGGAGCAACTAAATACTTCATGCAGTTCTTATAGATGAGTGTCAACTGGTAGAGCCACCCTGGAACACAATCTATCATTATCTGTTAAGTTGAACATGTGCATACCTATCAGCCAGTCAAATTCAGAATATATGACCGAGA